TCAGCACCACACACCAACAAAGATGTTGTGTCCGCCGAGAACTAAAAAATAAATATTAAAAATTCTCTCTCTCTCTCTCTCTCTCTCTCTCTCTCTCTCTCTCTCCTCTCTCACTAAAAAAAAAAAAAAAACAAAACAAAAAACCACAGGCTGGGAGCAGTCGTGCATGCCTGTGACCCCAGCAGCTTGGAGGCTGAGGCAGGAGGATCACACATTCAAAGCCAGCCACAGCAACTAAGCGAGGCCCTAAGCGACTTAGGGAGACCCTGTCTCAAAACAAAACATTAAAAGGGCTGGGGATGTGGCTTAGTGGTTAAGCACAACCCTGGGTTCAATCCCCAGTAAAACACACACACACACACACACACACACACACACACACACACACACCAAGATTCAGCCTCTAGGGGAAGCCATGGGGCCAGGTGAAAAAGGAGAGAATCTTTGGGAATGGAATCATTGAAGTCACCCAGTGACCAACCCCAAGAGATTTTTCTCAACAATCAATCAGGAACAACAGAAGAAATACCTTTGGCTTCCGTCAGCCATATTTGGATATTCTGCATTATACACAATAGTTTTTCCTCTGAAAATTGTGTACAGGAACTTTCATTARGCAAATGATAACTCAGCTCCTATCTGCCAGCCCTAAATGGTGTGCACAAACGAGAACTGGCTGTATTTATCAGTGTGGTCCTTGGAAAAGACTATCGGATACCAGTAATATGACAGCCAAGWTCCAGATGGCTTTCAAACCAGCCTGCCATTCACAAGTGGTTGTGTGTGTATCGAGAATTTTCTCGATCGATAAACCCCAGTCATTGAAAGGGCAGAGGCTTCTGCCATAGTCACTGAGGTTTCACTGGACACAGGCTGATCYCTAAGCCACATCCCCAGCCCATYTTTAACTTTTWAATTTAAAGTCAGGGTCTCACTGAGTTGCTTAGGGCCTCACTAAGTTGCTGAGGCTAGCCTYGAACTTGGGATCCTCCTGCCTCAGCCTCCTGTATGGCTGGGATCATAGGCAGGTGCCACCATGCCCAGCTTMGTCTCATTTTCAACAAGTCTTTCATGCTAAGGAGGGTGGCAGGCATGCMAGGGACATTTGTTTGAACTCCAGGTCTGAGAGCTGCTCCTTAGGAAATTCTGGCCTTGTGATGTAATGTTGTCCTCCGGTCCAGCCCTGCTTRCCAGCTCTGAGTAGGGAGATGTGAGAAGGCGCTTGGACTCCTCCAAACCCTCCCAAGTAGGTCCTTTATCTATGTCCTGAATTTTCTTCCACCGATAAGGTTACCTGTCCCCTTAAAGCTTTTCTTAAAAAAGACAAAAGARGCTTGGCCAGTCCCCGTACACTCTCTTCTTCTATTCCTCCTCGGTGGCAGAGCTCCAAATGGAAGTCCCCCAGGGAAAAGTCAGGACCCCAGGCCCTTCTGTCCTCTGGGATAATGCCAAGGCAGTCACTGGGCAGGAGTCTCCCTTGGTTCCGACCTTGGCTTACTCTAGAACTGCCCACTAACCCCAGGGCGTGAGCTCACCATARAAGAGCACGGGTCTCCATGGCCTTCAAAACTGTAAAAGTCATGARAAACAGAAATATGAGAAACTGTCACAGCCACGGGCAGCCTGGAGGGACATGACAACTCAGTGTGATGCTGTAGCCTGGATGAGATTCTGGAACAGAAACAAGACATGGGTTAAAAAAAACTAAGGAAATCTTGCCAGGCACGGAGGCGCATCCACCTGTAATCCCAAAGACTTGGGAGGCTGAGGCAGGAGGATTGCAAGTTTGAGGCCAGACTCAGCAAGTTAAACTTTGTGTCAAAATTTAAAAATAAAAAGGGTTGGGGATGTAGCTCAGTGGTAATGTACCCCTGGGTTCAATCCCCAGGACTTAAATAAATAAATAAAAATTTAAAAAAAAAAATAGAAACTAAGGAAATCTGAATAAAGTATTAACTAACTTTATTTAGTGAAAATGTATTAATATTGGTTCATTAATTGAATGTTGGTTTATTGATATGTACATCTCCATATATATAAGATGTTAATAAGGGGCTGGGGTTGTGGCTCAGTGGTGGARTGCTTGCCTGGCATATGTGAGGCACTGGGTTCAATCCTCAGCACCACCTAATAAATAAATAAATAAATGTATTAAATTTTTTTTAAAAAGTGTTCATAATAAGGGAATTCAGTGTGGATTATAAGGAACTTTAAAAAGTTTTTTCAAAAAAAAACTTTTTTAAAAAATATTTTTTAGTTATTGATGGACTTTTATTTTATTTATTTGGATGTGGTGCTGAGACTCGAACCCAGTGCCTCACACATGCTAGTCCAGTGCTCTACCACTGAGCTATATCCCCAGCCCTTCATTTTTCTTTAAATGTAAAACAGTTCTAAAAACTAAAGTATTTAAAAAAAAAAAAAACCATGAGTCTTATAAACGCAGGCATACATTCCAAAGACTATCGTGATTTGCTTCTCTGGAGAGGACTTTTGACTCTGGCCAGTCCTTTSTGTGACCAAAAGCTTCATGGACTTTCTGAATACCCCATCGCCCCTCTCCTGCCCGGGAACAGAGGGTCCTCACTGACCTACTTTCTTTCCATTCACAGAAGGGATACTCTCCGCAAGCCAGATTCCATAGAGAAAATGAGAAGCAGAGACGAAATGGCTCAGGTAAGTCAGACCTGCCTGGGTCTCCCCTGGGGGGACCCGGCCCCGCCCCCTCCTCCTGCTCCACATCCCTCACCCTCAGCTGTGTTCAATCTATCTGGATTCAAATCCACTACAAACGAGTTCTGTGGTCTCGATGCTCCCCGTCTCTGTAAGGGCCATAACCGTAGAGTGATCCAAGAGCCATTGAAGAGATTCCATGAGACGAACTGTAAAATGGATATCATTTCATCTCTGAAGACAGGCGATGGGACAGTGAGTGTCAAAGGTCTGTCATGGTGACTGGCATCCCTGATGGCCAGTCATTGACCGGTCTAGACAATCATAAGAACTTCAAAGATCAGTGTCACCTTGGGATCCTACATGGTGTCTGAGGAGCAGAGAAATACATGGACCTTTGAATTAGCGCAGAAGGTGGGTCTGAATAGTGGCCAAGGACCAGTCAAAAGGGACTTGGTCATCAAGTGATCAGCTGACAGGTACCAAGGCTAGAAAGGGCACAGAARCAGAGGGAGGTGGAACTGAACTGTGTGCCTGAGATGCCAAAGCCAGCTCACAATGCRCCCCCACCCACCCCCCTACACACACAGCTTTGAACCGAGGCCATTCAGCACTCTGGACAGCTCCGTGGGGGTCTATAGCTCTCAGGGGCACAAGTTTCAGGGTCCCAGAATTGGGTGGGTTCTTGGAAGGGCAAGAATGGTTAAGGCACCTCAGCTCTCTGAATCTCAATGACCTCATCTCTAAGCTGCAAGAAATACCTACCCTTCAGGACTGTCCTGAAGAGTAAATGAGATTAACAGCAGAGCAGATGCCTGGGGTCAGACCATCAGAATTCCTATCTCAGCTCCAGCTATGTGACTTCAGAGAAGTGGCTTAACCTCTCTGGGCCTCACTTTCTTCTCATCTGTGTAATTAGAATGCTACTAGACCCTGTTTCATGGTATTATGGAGAGTAAATGAAACAAGGCGGGCGCACACAATTGACATTCATTTTTGTTTTGGAAGAAACAGCACAGCACCTGACACAAAGTAAATAATCAAAATTGACAGCTTCTTACATGTTCTGAAACCACCTGGTTGACTTTGCCTACCCACCTCAGACTTTGGGACTTTTTTTTGGGGGGGGGGGTAAGTACCAGGGATTGAACTCAGGGGCACTCGACCACTGAGCCACATCCCCAGCCCTATTTTGTATTTTATTTAGAGATAGAGTCTCACCGCGTTGCTTAGCGCCTCACCATTGCTGAGAATCGGCTTTGAACTCGGGATCCTCCAGTCTCAGCCTCCCGAGATGCTGAGATTACAAGCTAGCACCACCGCGCTCGGCTTGGGGCATTTTTTTAACAAACGCCCGTTGGTTTTGTGCCAACCACTCTTCTAAGTCCTTTCTAGGTACCCAAACTGCACCCGTCAACCTTACAACCCTGTGATAGAAGTACTATATGGTCGACCCCATTTTCCAGATGAAGAAATTGAGGCTCTTGTGCAGAGAGGTTACTAAATGGGGAGGCCACACAGGTACTAACTAGTGGGACCTGAGCCTAGGTGTGGCGTTTCGGGATCCCACACCCGCGCGTAGCTTTCCATTTGGCCGGTGGCCATCCAGAGTGGAAGAGTAGGCGGCGGACCCGGACTCGGCGTTCTCCCGGGGATGCTGGAACCGGGCCTGGGAGTCCTCCCTCCAGACGCTCACGCGCGCCGCCTCATACCTGGGCAAGGATACCTGTTTGTGTCCCTGTCGCCTCCCTCCCTGTTGGCGTCTCCACGCCTGCCCCTCCGGCCTCCGCCGTAACCAGATCCCCGGCGGGGTTTGGGCTGCTGGCTCGAGTCACGGTGGCGGAGTTGCTCGCGCTCCAGGCTGCGCAGCGGCGGTGCGGGATCTGCAGCGGAGCGCGCGGGGCATGGCGCAGAGGCTGGGCGAATGGGCACGGGGCCCCGCCGAGGCCACCGGGCTCTACCGGGCGGTGCTGCTCAGGTCCGGTAAGTGGGGACCACGCCTCGCAGCCCCCTATCTCCTAAGCTGGAGGAGCGAGCGACCGGCGTGTGGCGCGCAGCCCCCCGGGCAACCCTTGGCGGAGCGCGTCTGTCCTCGATCCTTGCCCTGCGCCCTCCCTCCCTTCCCTTCCGTCATTGCTGTCAATTACTTTTTTATCCTTCCCCCCTTTTCCTCTTTTCTTCCTACATTCATCCTTTCGGGGGATCTGTCCTTAGATAGATTGCTTTTTTTTCACAATATCTGAGAACACACGCGCGCGCACACTCACGCACACACGCGCGCACATACCCACTCTCAGTTTCTCCACTGCAAAAGTCCTGCGAAGCTCTGGCTCCCGGCTGATCTCTGCGACAGACTCCGCCCGCGCACCGAGGCGTCGGACCGCGTGGGAGATGTGGGGCAGGGATGCGGGAAACGCGCCCCGCGGGAGCCGCCCGCAGCGGAGCTCCGAGCGCTCAGGCGAGGGACGGTCACTGTGCCATGGGCCATTGCACGAGGGGGAGGAGGAGAGCAAGTTACAGGCAGGTGAGGAACTGTTTCTTCTATTCGTGTGCGTGCAGCGATTCGGAAGGAAACAAGGTGGTTTTATTTTTCCCAGGATGGGGATTGGGTAACAGGTGGTTCGTCTTTGCAGTAAGCACGTATTAATTTTCTACTCTGGACAGTAAGAGTTTTGTTTTTGTTTTTGTTTTTTTAATTCGGTAAATGAAGTAAGCGAATGTATATTCAGTGTCAAAATAATTTAGAAAAACATGGGGATGTAGGAAAGTAGGGCGCAGTAAACGTTTGTGGGGTTTTCTTCCAAATACGGGCTTGGAGAAACGTTTGGGGAAAATGGAGATCAGCCTCGGACTGGAATCCCTGCCACTGGGGATAAGTGATTGCTAAGTGTCAGGGAACCTGGGCTCACGGGCCAGCTGCACTCGGCGTTGGGCAAAGAGTCCTGCCCGCTGGCAGAGCCAGGAGGCAAAGGCGCGCGGAGGCCGGCAGGGTGCCCTGCGCTGAGTGGCCGGGACTCCCAGCGTTTCTTCCCAAGACCCGCCTTGTCCCGGGGGCGGGGGAGCCCGCCGCCCAGTAGTGATTGGAAATCTTGGAACAAGGCTTCTCTTAAGTCCGAAAACAAGAACTGGCCAAGACTCGAGGCCCGGCGGCGCCTTCCTGGGGGAGGGTCTCCACTGAGCCGGGCGGGCAGAAAGGGAGGAGCCCTGAGATCAGACGAATCTGATTTCAGATCCCGGCTCGGMTGATGGCTGCGCAACGCCCGCTGCCGAAGTGTCCCCACCCAGTTCTTGTCTTCTCACCAAGTTGCGGAGGTGGCAGGTCCCAATCCGAAGACCCTGGGCTTCCTCTGGGGCTTCCCCTGGACCTGGAGCACCAGGGGCGAGCCTCTTTTGAGCTTCCAGACCATCCAGCAGAGTAGACAAGTCAGAGTCGGTCGGGGGGGGGGGGCGACCTGCTGGTCCCCTAGCTATACCACACGAGGTTACAAGCCGGGAAGCGGGCCAGAGGCTTCCTTGAAGGAGTGAGCGCCCCGTGATTGGAGCACTTACTATAAGAAGTTCATTGTGGCATTTAATCTTCACGATTCTGTTAGGACACAGGTTGTCATTTCCATTTCGTAGACGAGAGGACTGAGGCCAGAACTTGAACAGCTTTTTAGGAAGAGACCTTCCACACCTTCTATGGGCTACAAAGCATTTTTTTTTTTCTTATACCGAGGATGGAACCCAGGGACGTCTAACCACTGAGCCCCATCCCCAGCCCTATTTTATATTTTATTCAGAGACAGGGCCTTGCTGAGTTTCCTAGGGCCTCTCTAAGTTGCTGAGGCTGGCTTTGAACTCGGGATCCTTCTGCCTCRGCCTCCCAAGCCACTGGGATGACAGGCCTGCGCCACACTTTCAAACTTAAATTCATCTATGCCAAAGCCCACACATCCTCAGAGAACAGTAACAATGATGGTCACTTGTTATTGCCACAGAATCTCTACCCAGTGCCATACACCTGTTATCTCACCAACTGTTCACTCATTTATTTATTCATTCCACTAAGGGTTAGCAGCCTCTGCTCTGCACTAGGTTTTATGCAAGGCACAGGGATATCGATATCAATACAATGGGCATGTCTGTCAGTTCAGGGAGGTGAGTCATGTTATGCTCTATTGGACATACAAGGAAATGGAAGCTGGGATGGCAACATGACTTGTCTAAGGTCACATAGCTAATTGGGGTAAAGCTGAGGTTCAAAGCTAGGGCTGAGGTAGGTGCCTGTAATCCTAGGGGCTGGGGAGGCTGAGGCAGGAGGATCGAGGGTTCAAAGCCAGCCTTAGCAAATTATTGAGGCCCTAAGCAACTTAGCAAGACCCAGTCTCTAAATAAAAAATAAAAAGGGCTGGGGATGTGGCTCCGTGGTCAAGTGCCCCTGGGTTCAATTCCCAGCACCAAAAATTTAAAAAATAAAAATAAATAAATTCCAAAGCTAAGGTTGAGCACCTCTAGAACCATTTCCCTGGGTCTCTTACATGGAAGTGTGCGACCAACCTGGCCATTCAGTGGAGGGGTGAGCAGCTCTCTTTCCTTTCTGAAGTCCCCAAGGAGGAAAGAACAGAATTAAACCCGAGAGGGTGGCTGTTTTCAAGAACAGTGGCCTCAATTCGTGCATCAAATGATATTGCACTTTGGGGAAAATGTTCATCCCAAATTATTTCAAAATAGCTTCTTATTATGAAATGAAAACATGCCTCCATAACTGTCTGGGGAAATTGAGAATAAAACAGGGGGAAATATAACCCATGATGCCACTAACCCCAAGCAGCCACGGGTAACATTTGGGGATATCTCCTTCCATTCTTTSCTAATCATCTTTTGTGTGTTTGGTTTACACTGTTCAGATTGTTGTGACTCTAGTCTTTAATCTTATTTTTTTTTTTTCATTTGAACAAAAATCTTTAATGCTCTTACATGGGTTATCCAAAAAAAAAAACTGCTTCTACTTAGGCAAATGCCCAAGTCTAGGCAGGCATTGTACAAAGGGCCTTCCATACCCTGTATTCTTTATTCCTCAAAAGAACCTCTGCTCCTAGACTGGGCGTGATGGCACATATCTGTCATCCCAGCAGCAGCTTGGGAGGCTGAGGCAGGAGGATTGCAAGTTCAAAGCCAGCCTCAGCAACTTAGCGAGGCCCTAAGCAAATCAGAGAGTCCCTGTCTCTAAATAAAATACAAAACAGGGTTGGGGATGTGGCTCAGTGGTGAAGCACCCCTGGGTTCAATCCCCAGTACCAAAAAAAGGTTAAAAATCTGCCCCGGTTCAGAGATGAAGAAACAAGGTCTCTGAGCTCCAGCCATGGAGCCGGGATCAGTATCTCGGTTGACACCGGGACCCTGCTCTTAACCACGGAACTGGAAGGGTCACCTCTGTGGAATAAGTCCCTCCTGGAAAGCTATGCAGTCCTTGAGTAAAAGTCCATCTGAGGTGTCTTACCTACACCCCACCCGGAGCTCAGGCCAGGGTCCTGCTGGGGAGGAAAGTATCTCTCTGCACCGTGGACCAAAGGATATCTCCCCAGGTGCCTGCACCTGTCCTCTGCAGCCAGGGGACAGGCACAGCCCCCAGCCCTGCTTCTGCCAGTTAAATGTGAATTTCAGAAAAACATTTTTTGGGGCCATTAATATTTCCTAATTGCTTTAAAAAATTATTTGTTCTTTTTAGTTATCCATGACAGTATGAGTGAATTTTGACATAGAATATACACATGGAGTCTAACTTCCCGTTCTTGTGGTTGGACATGATGTGGGGTTTCCCTGGTCGTGCGTTCATATATGAACACAGGAAAGTTCTGTCCCGTTCATTCCACTGTCTTTCCTATTCCCATCCCTCTCCCTTCCATTCATCCCCTTCTGTCTAATCCAATGAGCTTCTATTCTCCCTTCCAGCCTTTTATGGTGTATTAGTATCCGCATATCAGAGAGAACATTTGGCCTTTGTCTTTTGGGGGAATTGGCTTATTTCACTTAGCATGATAGTCTCCAGTTCCATCCAATTACCAGCATATGCCATAATTTCATTCTTCTTTATGGCTGAGTAATATTCTATTGTGTATATATACACACCACATATTCTTTATCCATTCATCTGTTGAAGGGCATCTAGGTTGGTTCCATAGCTTAACTATTGTGAATTGAGCTGCTATAAACATTGATGTGGCTGTGACACTGTAGTATGCTCATTTTAAGTCCTTCGGGTATATGCCCAGTTGGAATAACATTTTCATGTAAGCATGTTCCAAATATTGCATGGGATACAGTTAAAATGAAAGATTATTTATGGCTTATTCAAAATTCAAATTTAACTAGAGTATTGCATTTTTATCTGCATCATCTGGCAACCACAGTCAAGAATTCTGGAAGTTTGCTTGATATGACAAGCTGTGGTCAGCCCAGGTTCCCCTCTACACACACACACACACATACACACACACACACACACACACACACACACACCAACACACATCCCTCTGCCTATCCCTAGGTCCACTACCCTGTTTTTATCTGGCTACAAGCAAATTAAAATGTACATGGAGCCAAGCATGGTGGCACACACCTGTAATCCCAGCAGCTCAGGAGGCTGAGGCAGGAGGATCCTGAGTTCAAAGCCAGCCTCAGCAACAGTGAGGCCCTAAGCAACTCAGTGAGACCCTGACTCTAAATAAAATACAAAATAGGGCTGGGGATGGGGCTCAGGGGTCGAATGCTTCTGTGTTCAATTCCCGGTACCCCCCTAAAAATATATATGAGGTGGGGGACACCCCAGAGTCCTTTTGCACCTTCGAAATCAAATTAGTTAGCCTAATCCCAGCTGGGTTGAGGACTAGCTTTCTAAAAAAGGACTCTTGGTTCTTCCCCTCCYGCCCCCCTCTCCTGTGTTCCCGCTTGAAGTCCCTGCCTTGGGTTAAATGCTTCCCAGTTCAAACTTGTTGTACTGGGGACTCAGGGTCCTTTAATAATCTCTCCACAGATCTCATGACAAGGTTTGCTGCCAATACAGCTTCTCCCCCCCCCCCCGCCCCCGCCATGTCTTTTCAACAGAGCGTGTTTGGGGCCGTGGGGGAGGAAGGGGGTTCTGTCTTGTGGGTGGCTTCTCAGAGACCTCATTGAGGCCTTGGACATTGAAACTGAATACAGGAAGTTTTGAGTTGCTATGGAAACTTCTTGTGGATGCTCGTGGGTCCCTGTGAGCTGCTCTCAGCTTGGCGACAAGAGGGCAGAAAGGAAAGAAAAGCCACTGGAGGAGGTTTTTCCCTGCAGTGTGCAGCCCTAGCCCACACTGGATGCAGGAAATTTCCCTGGGGCCCCTCAAAATTGCCTCCTCTGGGCTTCACTGTCCCCSATCCTTTTGGCCTCTCTGGTCCCTGGGAAATCAGACTTTAACAGGACAAGGGGGAGGGGCTGGGGCTCAGAGGGAGAGCGCTTCCTGGCTTGTGTGGGGCACTGGGTTCGATTCTCAGCACCAAATATAAATAAATA